TTCTGTAAAGAGTCCCAGTGTGCTTTGACTGAAGGTATAGGGAAAACTGCTGGGAAGAGCTTTGGATTTGAAGCTCCGATTCAGGTGAGTTAATAATGAAAAAATTAAATATTAGTGAGAAAAATATCAAATTATACCTTAGATATTTCTTTCTCTAAAAAGGCTTGTTCTAAAGGAATTAACTGCATTACTGGCTAATGTGTTTGAGTTCAGTTGTTTTAATAAAGAGATTATCTACACTAATAAAAGACAAAAATGCTAATTGATCGTACCTATGCCCTAAGCCATGTCCATCAGCCAATCAGAGCGACTATATGCAAATTAACCCAACCAAGATTGTGGCCTGCAGCCACAGAGCTGGAGCAAGCAGGAGGCTTGGTTGCCCAGGCGATGGGGGAAGCCAAGCTTCCCGCCTGCCCTGAGCCAGCTGTGGCCTCTGCTCATGGCAACAAAGTTTCAATTACAGAAGACAAATAAATCCCAGATACCTGCTTCCAGCCAGCCTCCACTGGGAGCTTGGGTGGCTGGGGGTTGTGGCCAGCCTGAAAACCGCCCTCAGCCCCTCACCCAGGTTGGCCAGGCACCCCAGTGGGGACCCCCACACTGAAGGGACTGTGGACAGCCTGCAAACAGCCATCATCCCCTCACCCAGGCTGGCCAGGCACCCCAGGGCAACCCCCACCCTCAAGGGGCTGTGGTCAGCCTGCAAACAGCCATCAGCCCCTCACTCAGACTGGCCAGCCACTCCTATATAATAAAATGGTAATATGCAAATTGACCCAAACAGCAGAAAGACTGGGAATGACTGGTCACTATGACACACACTGACCACCAGGGGGCAGATGCTCAATGCAGGAGCTGCCCCCTGGTGGTCAGTGTGCTCCCACAGGGGGAGCTCTGCTCAGCCACAAGCCAGGCTGACTGCCAGTACAGCAGTGGTGGTGGGAGCCTCTCCCACTTCCTCAGTAGTGCTAAGAATGTCCGACTGCAGCTTAGGCCTGCTCCCTGCTGGCAAGTGGACATCCCCCGAGGGCTCCCGGGCTGCCAGAGGGTATCTTACTGCCAGCTTAGGCCCAATCCCCCAGGGAGCAGGCCTAAGTCCACAGGTGTTCATCCCCCGAGGGGTCCCAGACTGCGAGAGGGCACAGGCTGGCTGAGGGACCCCCCCCCAAGTGCACAAATTTTTGTGCACCGGGCCTCTAGTTTTTATAATAAAAGGGAAGAAAGCTTTCTTAACTATTTTAAACATGCCAGTGACTTAAACCACTGCCAATAACCCCTTGAAAGTAGAATCTGGAAAACTAAAAGCATAATTAAGTAAAAACAAATGTTCAAATGGATTTATATTAGGGAAGGGGTAAGGATTTGAAAAGCCAGTGGGCAGGGGGGAAGGCAGGGCAATTAAAAAAAAAAACTTCAAGGGAATTTTCCAATTCAATCCACTACTTCTATATCTTATACCTTGGTAATATCTTTTACATCTCTGAACATGACTGTGAGGTCCACTGATATATTCACCTATCTAGCAAGGAAAATCAATTATGTTGCCTAGATTATCCTTACTTAGACAGGAAAAGAGGCCATACAGTTTTGGAAAGATTTTGAATAATAAGCAATAAGAAAACAAACTTCTTAGCTCTCAGTTATCCAAACAACACAATTAACCAGACTCTTTTCCTCCCCCCATCTCCTATGCATTCCAGCCAACTGAGGTCAAAGTGGACTGAAATTCAGATGTATGTTTGCTGGAAGATTTTTTTCTGGGCACTAATCTCGTAGTATCTGAGTTATAAATTATGCTCATTAAATACTTTCTAGAAATTCAAACAAAATGAAAAAGAAAACAAAGTACCTCTTACTTTTTTCTGTGAAAATAGAGACCTTATCTTAGTCCTAATTGTGCCTGCTATTTTGAAATGACCCAACTTGGAGGTAGTTCTTTCCCGTTCCTTAGGCTCACATTCATTACCCTTTACATTCAAACAGCTTTTTGCATGATGGCTATATAATGAAAAAAGCTTATTAAAGTTACTTCCAAGATTAAACAATGTCACCAAAATAAATTTAATTAAAAATAAAATAACAATAATAAATTACTTCCCAGAGGCCCTTACACTGTAATTAGACTTGAATAACCCTGGAGATTGGTCATCCTCATAGGTGTAGTCATTCACTAATTTCGTGCCCAGGCATAACAATTTGTTGAACTAGAGTGAGCTTTTCCATTCCTCACCAAGAGAAGATTTCAATCTTGGGTCCCTTTGCTACTGGGTGGGAAAAAGAAAACACAGTAAGTATATTTTCTCCATTTTAGGCCATTCACAGGATTTCAATATGAAATGTTCCCAAACCCCTCAACACCATTCTATTGCACAAACAGCTTGCAAATTGTTAAAGTTTCCCGAATCACTTGACAAACATTATTATATTTGTCAGGTTTACATAATTAGATGTTGCTATTTACAAGAGTTTTTACAAATTTCACGAAAAGGAAGACATGTTAATGTACAGGTAGTCCTCAACATACTAATGATGTATGTCCAAAACATTTATATGTTACTGATTTGGAAATTGGAATGCATTGCTTCAGAGAAAGAATGCTATATATGTGGTGGTCAGGTTTCTAGGCCAGTCCACATAGGCTAATTTAACCCACATGGAGCAGAGTTATATTAGAGCTCTAGCAGGGGTCCTGGGTCCTGAGAGCAGAAGAAAAGGGATTCTTTATTCCCATTTTGGGGTCTAAGGAAAACCCAAAGCAAATGTTTTAAGTGGTAACCATTATGAGCCTCCATTCCTAAAAACTGCCAACTTTGTCATTTCTCCTTGTTCCAATCAAAATGAAACTTCTTTGTCCTCCTGGACATCTAGCTTAGTTCACCTTCATTATATGACTGATTAATTGTCCCTTACCCTCCAAAAGGTACATCTATGATTGAAAGAGGAGGTTTGTCAACCCCAAATGAACCCCAGTTGGTGAAATTTTAGGGAAAGTAATCAGATGAAGTGATAACTTTGAGGAAGTTTTGGTGAGTGGTGGATATTTGGAAACATGCCAAAGGAGCTACTAGGTAGACAACAGGGCCCTGCCTGAGAGACAGCCCCTGTAGTCACTTCCACAGCATGTTTCCTTCCTCCATGACTCCACTGGGTCTTAAGTTTTCCCCTAACAGCTCCCATGATTGTTGCAGTGGATGAGAATCATTCATAGATACTGTGGGTCTTTTGTAAGTTGGATCTATCTCACTAAAAGTAAGGCTGAAACATTCTGGAATAGATGCTATTACTGGGTGACATCAACATAGGTTATTTAATGAGCTAAGTGAGATATCTGGGAGCTCTTGGATTTAGAACAAGCCTTCTGAAAATTTTTAAGAGTGCTCTTCTTGAGGATTTTTGTGATTTTCACACCCTTCCAAGGCCACTGTGGTTAATTAAAATGCTGATTAAAGTACAAGTGCTAATGATGCCAAGATCAGAGGTCAAATCTACTTTTGACCCAATTGGCTTCAATCATTCCGTATGTCCACAGCCCACAGAAGCCTGCCTTCTGTCAAGGTGGTCCAAAAGAGTGAGTGTAAATGGCCTAAGCCACGTCCACCTGTAATGCTGGGAAAGCACTACCAAGCACAGCCAATGATAGTGAGTCTGCTTCAGTGTCTTTTGCTGCAAACTCCCACACATTTTTAAGAATGGATAGTTATTTTTCTACAGTGCCTCCAAAGCCTGCACTACCCTGCCAAAAGGAAAACGCTTCAAGGGTTTCCAAACCCTTTCCTGCTGTGTGAGAGCAAGACAGAAAGAGACAGAAACTGAGACTGAGTCTGAGACCGAGACTGATTGTGTGTCTATATGTTTCCTTTCCCACAGGAAAGAATGTTTCTGAAAATTGGATGTGTGTGTGTCCCAGCTGCTTATATGCTTGTATTACTCCATAGGAAAGAACAGAGCCAGGACCCAGGTGGCAGGGTGACAGTGGAGCCACATGCTCAGTACAAAAGCCTTTCTGAAGTATAAATGTTATGACTTATAGAGAGTACTTGTGATAGTCACAGAAATGAAGATGCACTGGGTTTCCCTAGGAAAGAAAGAATCATAGAGTTAATAAAGTCAACCAAGGCTAGTAGAAAAATTGGAAGCATGTGGATGCCTTTGGTAGTTGCTTCTAGAATTGTGATTATTGTATAACATGTTAAAAAGAAGTGAATAGGAGTTAATGGAGATGCCCTAATGCTTACTTTAGAATTTTGTGATTTTCAAGGATATGTAGAGGGAGCAATAGCTCCTGGGGTCAAAGTCCCCATGAAATCAAGAATTAAAAAAGAAGAGGAGAGATATTGATAGAAGCCCAAGAAAGCAATGGATTCCTTAGAGATGAATACATGGGAAGAATTCTCGATAATTAGGTTGTTGCTGCTTCATAATCATATATTTCTAGTAGAGGAGGAGGAATTGGGGAATTATCCTGAATTCAAGCCAAGCTGTAAGAGTAGCCAGTATTAGTTTAGTTGGCAATGCCAACCTTGGAAGGGATCAGGTAGTGCCTCCAGAGGAAATGATATAAGCATCCCCTCAAAAATGGTCTTGCCAATAGATCCCAAGAAAGGGGGGTTAACGCAATATTGCTGTGTTGCTTAGGTAGATATGAGTCTCTCAAATCTTGAGATGACTCACTATGTGGCCCAGGTTCACAATGAAAGAGACAGGTGCACCTGCCTGGTAACTGAACAAGGCCAGCCTTGTTAATGTTCAAATGTGTTAGTGCAGGAGGCAAGGGTCTCTTTCAGGCCAGGGCAGCTGACCTCCCTCAGATGCAGCTTGCTCTGCCAACAGGCTTCTCCATAAGGTTTTTGGCATAATTCAGCAGAGCTTGGAAATTCACCAACTCCAACACACTCTGCCAACAGAGCGTAGGTTGAGAATGGCATTCATGCCAAAGGTAGCCCTAGCTTTGAAAATCTGGCAAGCTCTTATGCTCTGTTTTCCGGCTGGTCATTATCTTATGGCTTGTTTCTTACCAGCTGCCTTTCTGTTTTTCTTCTTTGGAAGGCTGCAATAACCACCAGTTGCAGGCCATGCCCCACTTGACTGCAGTGTAGGAGAGCAACAAAAATAGTGAAGAAGAGGGTGTGGCAGAGTAGGACATAGCAAGACTCTAATAAAGTGTGAACTTCACTTACCCACTTCGCCCACTGGTGGGGGCACAAGAAGGGGCTTTGTGAAACTTTTTTTTTCTGTGCCTTTGCCCTTACTATAGAAAATATGGAAAAATGTAGACATGCTATAAACCTAGAGAAGTCCTTCTGACAGAACTTGGAGAGAATCATTGGAGAAACCAAGATGGCGGCATAGGTTAACGCCGGAGTTTGCTGCCTCAAACAACCACTTCAAAAATACAACTAAAAGACGGAACGGACATCATCCAGAACCACAGGAAGGCTGGCTGAGTGGAAGTTCTGCAACTAGGAGAAACCGAGAATCAGAGGAGGCGCAGTGCTGAAGTAAAATACTAAGGTGCGGAGTGCGCGCAGCGCGGGCTGGTGGCTGAGGGCGCGGTTGTCTGTTTCAATCCGGAGGGACCCTCAGACTCAGAGCTCCAGATCCGGGCCAGTCTCTAGGGACCCAGACTCAAACGGGAGAAGCAGGACTGTCTGGCTACGGTCCCTCCGAGGTTTGCAGCTGTTGCTGGGACAGAGAGGCAGAGCCCCTGGGGACGGACTGAGAGCAGTCATAACTGCTCCCTCCTCCGCCCTGTTGATCCCGTGGGACCCGCCCCGCCCAAGCCCTGCACAGAGGCATTTGCCCGATAGCCTCAGGCAAAGGCTAGATTAGCACCTCCCTAGAGGACACAAGTTCTTCCACTGCAGACACAGCTGATTATCACAGCCAGTCAGCCTGGAGGTCAAATCCCTCTAGTATTAACTATAACAATCAAGGCTTAACTACAACAAGACTGCACACAAAGACCACTAGGGGGTGTACCAAGAAAGTGTAAAAAATGCGGAGACAAGGAAACAGGACAAAACTATCAAGGGAGGATATTGAGTTCAGAACCACACTTTTGAGGTCTCTCAAGAGGCTTCTAGAGTCTGTCGATAAACTTGATGAGATGTACAGGAAATCTAATGAGACCCTCGATGGTGTGATAAAGGACCATCTAGAAAGTAAGCATACACTGACTGAAATAAAGAATATTATACAGACTCCCAACAGCAGACCAGAGGAGCGCAAGAATCAAGTCAAAGATTTGAAATGCGAAGAAGCGAGAAACACCCAACCGGAAAAGCAAAATGAAAAAAGAACCCCAAAATACGAAGATAGTGTAAGGAGCCTCTGGGACAGCTTCAAGCTTACCAACATCAGAATTATAGGGGTACCAGAAGATGAGAGACAGCAAGATATTGAAAACCTATTTCAAGAAATAATGACAGAAAACTTCCCCTATCTGGTGAAATAGACTTACAAGTCCAGGAAGCGCAGAGATCCCCAAACAAAAGGAATCCAAAGAGGACCACACCAAGACACATCATAATTAAAATGCCAAGAGCAAAAGACAAAGAGAAAATCTTAAAAGCAGCAAGAGAAAGAAACTC